AAAAAAAAAAAAAAAAAAAAAAAAGAAGTCAGAACAGTTTCTATACATAGAAACAAATATTTATATAAACTCTTCAATACATGCAAATAAGCTAAATCATCCTATGGCTCAAGTTGACCTTCTGGTTGATGCACAGCTCATCCTTGGAAAGAAAATGATGCATAACAGCAACAAGGTCTAAATGTGATCACAGCCTCAAACAAATTGAGTTTGCTATTACTTGCACTCTGAATTGTCTCCTGTACACATTGCTACACGTATCCAGCTCCCTGCTAAAACTACTGTGAAGGGTAGGGGCATTGATTGCTATGTTTCATTAATATTCTGCAGCCTGTCTGACCAACTGTTATTTTGTTGTTTGCTATATAATTACAAGGGGTTAAAAACCAGCAGAAGCTGAGAGCATGTATGCAGAAAACACACAATGGTATCCAACAGCCCTGCTTACTGCTGCTTTCAGGGACAATGTAGGTACTATTCATTGTAAAGTTTTACCTCTAATCACGTTGAGTTCAATGATCCAGTTTGTAATCTTGAATGTTGAGGGAGGAATATTAGGTGGGAAACCATCAACTAACTTTGGGGTGGATAAATATTCCACTTCCAGAGACAGAGGAGGAAAGGAAGACACACAGACCAGACCAAACCCCAGGTGTCTCGAAGAAAGCTAATATATGTCTGCCTCAAGTCTGCCAGTAGGCATCATGTATAACCCTTTTGTTGCTTTAAAACCCTTCTCTTGTTATGCTTCTTCCCTGCTGTTGTCATTACTTGGTTTTGAAAAAGGGCTTGTAGGAGCCTAAATCCAGATGAGCCTCCTGGGCAATCCTACTTGGCTTGGAGTGCTGCAGCCAGACACGGGTCCAACCATGGGAAAACCACGGTGCCCTGCCCTGGGGGTGTTTGTACACATTTGTGCTGCAGCACCAGGTGCTTTTAAAAACGGCCCGGCGCTGGGGCGCATGCATTTGTATAAACGACAAAATAATGTGTATCAGTGCTAAGAAAGTGGCGGCGGCATGCTTTTGAACTAAAACACCTCTCTTCTCAGCGCTGATGTGCATTTTGCCATTTGTACAAATGCGCCAGGCGCATCAGCTCGCGTGCAGAGTAATCGAATTTGCTCCAATACGCTAGATCTCTGGCGCATTGGAGCAGACAAATGCACATGCA